TTCCAAATTCTAACTAGTATTGCTCAGATAAAACACTTCAACAGAAATACTTGTAAACATCTCCCAGCATAACAGAAATACTTAACAAAGTAGAACTTGTAGGTATTTATTATCCTTACTTGAATTATTTCTTTTTTCTTAAAAATAAACTTAGGATGTCAGTTACAGAGGGGCATTACCTGAGTCAGGTAGAAAATGCTTTGTCTTTGAACATGGGCGCCACCTTGTGGATAAACAATCCTCATACCATTGATTGCAATTTCTAGATTTATGCTTCATATTCCATCTCTATTCTCTTATGCAGAAGAATTCTGTGCAAAAGTATTATGTGTCTTGAATATATGAACTAATTAAAAGTTATTTATAACTTTTATTTTATTTGATGGTTTTTAAGTTCAGACTTCTGATCATTTGCCATTTTGCTATACTATATAAAAAGAATTGCAAAGAAGCAAAGTGTAAAAGAAAAAGAAAATGTTAATTTAATCTTATGTGATATTAGACCACATCTAATTTTCAGTTGCATGAGTGCTTATATTTGAAAAAAATATTGTGTTCATATGTGTACCTGGGTATATGTGCATAATAAAGACCTAAGTTGTCTGGCTTTAATGTGCTCAAATACCTCAGCCTACTCTATCCACAAACCCAAAAGAAAATAAACTACTAGTCTTCTAAAGCAAGCAATGAGAGAAAGCTTTAAAGAACTGAAGAGTCAATATTTTCTGAAGATACCAACTCACTTTTTCACAGACAAAAGAAAAAAAAAAAAGGTCACATTAAAACTTGCCATGGCTAACAAAGGCAGTTAGCTACCGGCAGCTAATCCAAGAATCAGGTAAAATAGGAGGAAAAATAAGCAAAGCAAGGCATAAATGAGATAATGAACCCCTGCTGACATGGTAGGATGAGCTGAAGAAGAGGGCAGGAACATGCTCCCAGAGCCTGGTCACATCGAGTCTGGACACTGACCCAGGTGGTTCATGTCTTGCCCTGCGCAGAATCTCATCACAATTCCTGCGTACCTTGTCTTTCAGAAGTTTCTGGCCCCATATCCTGCCTAAAGAATTACTGAGATCAGGAGCCCCAGCCATCTTCCAGTTTAAAGGACATTATTAGAAGTGGTTCACGTCTACTACCAATCCTGCTTAAATTGTTGGCCAGAGGACATATTTGAACAGAGTATCCAAGAGTGCCCCCTACTAGGAAGGCAATTGGACCACTTTGTGAGTGAAGTTCTTATGTAATAACTCTTACCAGGAATCCATCACTTCTGCTGCACTTGAGGATTTTATTCATTTTCTTTTGTCATACCACCCAGTATCACCCTGACCACAGCTTCACCCCCAGTTGAAGAGGAGCAGTCAATTCACATGAACTTGCCTATAGGAGAGGCTCCTGGGCTTGACCCAGGTAGGAGGATTGTTACCTCCCCCCAGGTAGTACTGTCCAGATCCCCTCTTTCAAGTGCAACTCCTTGTATTATGCCACTTGGAGTTGGGTGTGGGTGAATGGTGGAGAGAAAATATAAATGGTCCCAGACAAGAGATATTCATTCCCCACCTATGTATGCTCGCTGATTACGTTAAAACCTGTTATATTTTATTTATTTTTATTTATTTATTTTTTGTGAGTCCCTCCAGCCAGTTAGCAAGTCAGGAAGCAGAAGGAGGACTCTGTTCCTGGCCAGTGGAGAGCTGCGTGGCTATCTTTCCAACCTGGAACCCAAAGTCAGAGAAAGCCAATTTGGCTCTGGCACAGGGTGCTGAAACCAGACTAGAAAGGAACCGACAGCATGGGCCAGACTAGGGCAGGTGGGAGGGAGGTGTGACCAGCCACCACTAGCTGTAACCAGCCAGAGTTTTCCAGACAGAGCCCAGTACTTGATCTCATTGTCTGAAGTCTCCTTGGCTCTAAAGTGAGCAAAGAACATTCACACAGCTCCCTGGTTGTAGCTAGGATTCAGTTCTTTCACTGGCATGGTCGTCCTCAGAGCCAGTGACTTTGGACTGTTCCTGGGAAAACAAGGGAAAACTTTGTCCTCTCAAAGACACCCCTCTTGTGCTGGTGGAGTGGCTCAAGTGCTAGAGTGCCTGCCTAGCAAACATGAGGACATGAGGTCCTGAGTTTAAACCACAGTACTGCAAAAAAAAAAAAGAATAGATAAAAAGGTCACCCCCTTGACCCTGAGACAGAAGTAAAACTTGTCTTAAATCTGGAGAAGCCCCAGCTCTGCCTCTACCCTAGCAGGTGAGAGTCACTGGGAAGAGGAATGTTCAACTTTGGCTTCTTAAGGGGTTTCACCTTTGACACTAGGTTCTAGGCCACTTGATCTATGCATCTTACATTTTCTTCATCTCTTTGTCTTGTTCACTGTTTATGCTTTCATCTGAACTAAGCTCCTCCAGACTGATCAGTGATTAGATTTATCAAGCTGGTGCTTTCAGCTCTCGGGATATTCTTCCCTTCTTGTAGGTGGTCCTTGAGTGACTGTCCCTCCAGTCTATTCAGGTTGCAATAATGAGCATAAGTTGCTGAAAAACCTAAATGTAACCAACATGCTATGTAGCACTTAGGTTTAGCTGCCTTTAGTTGTCCTTTATAGATGTGCAGGTTTAAGGTCCTTTTCTCCTACAGAGGTTTTTTGATTGGCTCGTTCTTCAAGACAGGTGATAGATAAATTCACCATATTGTAAATAATGAGGAGATTGAGCCTTTGTTTATTCCTGCCCAAGCAAGAATTCTCTGGAAAAGTTCATTAGAATAACCAGTCACCAAAGAAAAACACAGCTGAATTTATGACTCTACTTCAAATGAGGTTTGCAAATGCTGGTTCTCTTTCCGTAAGTGAGAATCAACTATTCTTTCTCTAAGCCTTTGAAAGCACTTAGGGATTTTATGTGCTAACATGTCTTTTAGAAGAACGAATGTTATAATGAAAAGAGAAAGAAACTACAGAACAAAAATAAGAAACAAAGACAAAACAACCCCAATATGGTTTTCTTGTGTAAAGGTTCCTTGCAGTGACCCCATTGGACTTGTTATACAAAGTTCTGAAATATTCATCTTGTCTCTGCAATATTTGTCTTTATATTTGGCATTACTGAGTCTTGGAGGTTATCATGAATGCCAGTTGTGTGAAATGAGTACAACTGACAGGATTTAAAGGCTAAGACTAACCTTTCTAATTCTCTATTCCCCATTCCCTGCCTTAGGCCATGCCTCTTCTGCCAGTCGATACGACATCCTTGCTCCTCTGATGGGAGCTACATTCATTTCCTGAATGTCAGTCAAAGCCTCCTTCTTGAGGAGTTGGAGAAATTCAAGTTTCTCCTGACTAGATGGAAAAGAGCTGTAAGGAATTTCTAGAACAAGATCAGTGTTAGTATTTTTGCCACCTATATTAACTTTTCCAGGTCTTTAGTAGTCCAGAAATATAATTTATAGTTCTTTTCCCTCTTTCCCTTTGAGTTTAATTAACTAGTAAAAATTAATTCTGAGTTAAGCATATGTGTAGAGATCAATTATCAAAAATGTTTAATTAAATAAACTCATCAAGACTGAGTGACAGCTATGTGCCTCGGCATTATTCTAAGTGCTGGGAATACAAAATAGAGCATGTCCCTGTTTACATGGAGTTCATATCCTAGTGAGTAGAGGACAAAAATTATCAAATAAATATGTCATATGTCAAGAGGTGGTAAGCACTTTAAAGTAGAATAAAGCAGAGATAGGAGATGAAGAATAACAGGTGTGGGAGAGTGGAATACAGAAGAATAACAGGTGTAAGGAGAGTGGTAGGGAAGATCTCTCAGACAAGTGGATACCTGAGCAGAAGTCCACAGATGTGAGGAAGGGAGTCATACCAATATTTTGAGGAAGAATAATCCCGGTAGAGAAAGCCAATTTGGTTGACAATATTTTTAAAAGGTAGTGTGAGGAGGCAACGGAGAAAATAGTGCCACTATTAAGGAGGCTACTATAGTTAAGTCTGGGAAGATGGAGTGCATTGGACTAGAATGGTAATGGAAGTAGTGAGCAGTGAATAGATTCTGAAGCTATTTTGTAGGGCCAACAGGAGTGCTTCATGCATCAGATGGATGTGAGGTGGGAGGAAAACAAAAGAAGTCAAGAATGACTCTGAGGTTTTAGCCTAAATAATTGATTGTTGCTGTTTGCTGAGATGGTAGCTTGGGACAGGAGCAGGTTTGGTGGGTGGTAGAGTGGATCAGGGCACAGTGAAACTCCATGTTTAGCTATCTTAAACAAACAAAACATTTTTTATTCAGAAACTGAGAACAGGAAAGTAAAACAAGCCCTGTCTGGGATTGGTACCAATGGGAGGAGGAAAGATATAAGGAAAGGGTGAGGGAGAGTGAATATGGTAAAAATATTATGTACTCATGAATGAAAATGGAAAAATAAGACCTGTTGAAACTGTTCCCTCCAGGAATGAGGGGATGGGGGATAAAGGAGAATAATGGAGGGGGAGAATTCAACAATTACATAAGAACTTTTGTAAATGTCACAGTGTACCACCAGTACAACAATAATATGTCAAGGAGAAACATAAGCCCCTTTCTTAAAACACCTATTAACTGTTCTGTTTTTATGGTATGTAGCCAAGCAAAATTATGAAATATGTTTTGAAAACTAAAGCCCAGTTCTTTTGTGTTTTATAAGGTAAACTGAATTTTAAAAAGGTTATGCTGTTCTTTGAAAGTGTTTATATGCTTGTGCAAAAAAAAAAATAAGTGGCTAAGTGCAGAGTTTTACATGCAGAAAACAAGTATTGACCCAAGCAGTAAGAAGAGAACTCAGCTGTTAGAGTGAGGGACAGAGCTCACTAATAAGAATAGAAAGAAAAGAACTGGTTCTATAATTAAGAATAGTAATAACTCAGATGAGTATGTATAGTAGCAGTTTAAATATGGTATAGTATATTTACACACTAAGCAGTATACAATTGATGGTTTTCTCTTTATTGAAAAACACAACAGATTTTGTTGGAGCCAGGAGTGATCCAGGATGTGTTGGCAGCTGGCAGTCACCTACAGCTGTTGGAGCTTCTCAATTTATGTTCCCACTATCTTATCCAGGTATGTAAGCTTGCATCCTGCTAATATGCTCTTCATTCCCTTTGCCTGTAGTCCTAAGCTGTCTTCCACCAACTGGAGCCCAATGACTGACAAAGTGGGGTGTTTGTGTGTGTGTGTGTGTGTGTGTGTGTGTGTAGCAGTAGAATTTCTCCAGGACACAAGCTGAGAGGATCCTAGGAGGATAGCTAAATTATTGTGTCCTCCCATAGATGTGAGCCTTTTCCATCATCCTCCCTGCCCACCTCAAGTCCTCACTACCTTCAAGCAGCAGATTAACTCAATACCATGCACAGGCTTCCCTATAGGGTCCTGGGGAGATGACACTGGAAATGATCTGGTCCAAGGTAATGCTGTTTGGTTGTGGAAATGAGCACAAATACAAGAAAAGTCAAGTACTCGTTGAACATTTCAGTAACAGTAGTTACAGTCACAGTCATATATAATTAATTACCATGTGAACTTCCCAAGCATTAAATGCTGGAGAAGGGATGAGTGAGTTGTGCATCCTTCCCTTGATTTGATGGCTAGTCAGGAAAGCTCCATGAGAGGGAAGGAGAGAAAACCACACACCAAGCACCTACTGTGTATCCACAGTACTTCACATTCAATCTTCACAATTTTGCACATTTTTAAGAATGAAAAACCATAGAAGTGCAATATATATTCATATATGAAAGTAGCACAGTTAAACCCACCAAAATCTGTAAAAAGAAGGGGGGAAGGAGAGAGGGTGGTTAAGAAAGAGTAATACAGATGGGGTGAATTTGATCAAAGTTTATTGTATGCATGTTATAAATATCACAATGGAATTCCTTTATACAATTAATTTATTCTGATAAAAAAGTCAGAGGTTCAAAATGTACCCAATTTGCTTGAGACAATGTGGCTGGTAGGCCTGATTCCAAATGTCATTTTTTCCTCTTTGTTAGGCAGGAAGATATAGCCTCATTGCTCTGAGGCTCTTTTTATTTTACAGAAATTTAATAACTAATTTCTATTTTTAAATCCTCCCATTTCCCCCACAAGTATCACTTTTACTTGCATTTATTACAGCATTATAACAGCAATGAAAATTAATTTAAAAAATAATAAATCCACACAATTTAATTCTATTATCGTTTTGCCTATGACATAGTGTTAGTAAGAAGAAAATTCCTATTTGTTTTCTTGCCCAATTACTTTATTTTCCTTCTTAATCATTTTCTCCAATTCTAAATACGTCCATTATCACTGACGTCTGCTACCCATTGGCTAGTTTACAAAGCTCTGTCTCACATAACATCTTATTTCATCTTCCCAACAGCCCTGGGAAATAGGAATCAGTGCTTCCCAGGCAGACATGTTAGGATTGCCAGGCATGTTCACCTAAGGAGGAATTCAAATACAATATATGAAATTTTTGTCATTATCTTGGCACATTTAATCTAACAGTAAATGTTTAACTATTTTTATCTTACGTTCTTTCCTTTTCCCCCTCAATATTTTTGGGTCATATGGGAAAGCCCTTTTTAATTCCTTTCTGCTAGTACCAAATGGGAATCACAGAGAAAGGTTACAAGACTTCAAGAGTGTATGTTTGACTTGTGAAATTGGAATTACTTTTATTTGACATTTCTACATCAAAAGCTGCAACTTGAGCTTATCCGATTCACTTTTTCCATGGCAGATGATAATCAGTGATGCATGATGACAGGGTTTGGTGATAGTGTTAATTATCATGAAGTATATTATAAATGGTGTGTGTCTTTATATCTATAATTTTCTGCAAATGAGAATTCCAGATGAACACTGAAGTTCATGTGCCTTTTTTCCTACTCTATCAGATGATGACTGGAGCACTTTTGAATTTGACTCTTGCCTTTTATTATTGTGCTGGGACAAAAGCATACTTTGCATACAGGTACATTTCATGGGCAGTTATTATTCAGGCTTCTTGAGCAATGGTTGAAAGTTTCACTGTCTCTTCACAAATATATTTCGTTTTATTTTGCATGTAGCTTTCTTTTTGTCTGTGGTTTTTGCAGGAAGTTAAACTTGTAAAGGGACACTTTGACTATTTGAGAACTAAAGATCATGTAAATGTAGAAACTTTCACTGCTTCAGTCTTTTAAAAACTATGCTCTGCTTCTCTCAGGATAAAATCACCAGGTTGGGTTAGTCTGCTTTTATGTTGACACAGTCTTATTACATGCATATTTACTAATTTTTGACAACATTGCTCAATTGGTTTTTAATTTCATGTGGGAGTAATGTATTGAATATATACAAATAATTTTTGATAAAAGGAAAACTCTTCAGTACTTAAACTGTACTAGAAGTTGTGTCCTACTAATCAGTGCTAACCTACTCTCTGTCCTCGTTTGGTCCTTTGTTGAACCAGTAGTTTTGGAAACCATTCTCCTCACTAAGATGGTTGATACTATTTCGTTGTTCTTAAATGTCCATTATTTATTTGGTTCCACTGCTAGAGGTGTGAAGGGTAGACCCCTCTTCCTAGACCCCCATGTTTTCCTCAGGTAGTCACTGAAACGCCTGTCTGAGGAGAAACTGTTGGTGGTAGCTCCCGGAGCCTCCTTGGCCATCAGTTATTGCTTGGTGTCCGGCTCCAAGCAGTAAATTTACACACAGTAAATGCTGCTGCTGCTGCTATCCTACCACCACCCTCAGGGAAGGAAAGGGGCACCTTGACATTGTGGGGACTCCTTTCTTTTGTTATTCCTCTGACAGGCTGCCTTGGGCAGAGAACCTAAGCCCCAAGTCACAGGAATAGTGCTCAGGTATCAGTGAGAACAGCTATTGAATTAGCCCCTAGGCTGTGAGGCCCTCACACAGGTTCTCAAAACGTGTTTGTGGAGGCAAGTGAAAGCCTGGCAACGAACAGGATGGGAGGTTGGGAGGAGTACATAACCCAACAATAACCCATCAAATCCAGGTAAGAGATTATAAACCACTCTGTAATGTGCATTCTTTCTTATCTACTCTGCAGTGAGATTCCATAGGACTCTCTTATGTAGCTTGTCATGCTAGTGTATCATTAAACATGACCTGTTGGGCTTTTGTCTGCTATTTGGGATCCACAGTCTAGATCCAGTCCCAAATAAAATATGAATGCTTCTTTCCCCCTTCCTCATCCATTGTGCTCTTCTAAAAAATTTCTCTAGAAGGATGTACCAATTCACTGAAGATCAACCACTCTCTAAAATGGATCTCCTGGAGTGGTGGAGGGGGTGAATTCAAATATAATATATTTGATACATTGTAAGAACTTTTGTAAGTGCTACAGTGTACCCCCACCCAGCACAGCAATAAAAAATGCAGATAAAACTTTAATCAAATTAAATAAGTAAAAAGAAAATGGATCTCTTGTAAAATGCATGAATAACTTTACTTTTTAGAGTTTCCATGAATCCATACATTCTATTCACTATTTCAAATATTGTAAAGGAAACCTTGGGATATCACCTTCCAGAGTGGTATGTTCTGTGGATGTAGAGTCTGACAGGTCCATTAGCTTTCTCAGTTCCTTACAGAAACATTACAAATTTTTTGAATCCAGTTTGGTTTCCCAAATTCTAATTTTCCCAGCCAATTTCTTTCTTTTTTTCTGGTGGTGGTTTAGATAGAGTCTTATTGTATAGCCCAGCTGGCCTCAAACTTTTCATTCTCTTGCCTCAGTTTCCTAGGTACTGGGATTATAGCCATGTGCCACCATGCCTAGCTTCCCAGGCATTTTTTTTTTAAGCACTGGGGATTGTGCTTGCTGGGCAAGTTCTTTATCATCTGAACCATGCTCCCAATCCTTTTGCTCTTAGTTTGTTTTTCAGATAGGGTCTCATATTTGTGTCCATGGCCAACCTCAGATGGAGATCCTCGTACTTGTGCCTCCTGGGTGGCTGGGCCCTTTTCTCCTCATGGCATCATTGATCTGCTTGTTGCCTAGAAATTTGGATGTGGTTTTAGATATGCACTTCACAAATATCACTGGATCCTTTTCTCCATCACTAAAGTTACCACCTTTCTTTAAACTCTCATCATCCTTACATAAAGATTCGAATTAGTCCATAATATCTTGGTTTGCTTGTTTCTAGCCTCTATCTGTGCCAAACCATGGTCCCTTGAACATCATTGTCTTTCCCAGGAAAGGGAACCAGCATTTGTCAAGGACCCACCAGGGCTGAGAATCTTGCAAGAACTCACATTCCACCCTACTACGTAACCCTTTAAGGCAGGTGCATTTTTTTTTCACAGATGGAGGAATTTAAATTCAGAATGAGGACGTTGATTTGGTTTGGATACTTCCACTAGCTATCATGATGACCAGTCAAGTGCACTGTATCACCTACAAAAATCCTTAGTCTTATCTCCATTCCTATTCCAGGACTGTTCCTTTCTGGCCTCATATCCAGCCATAATGCATTTCCTAACCAATTTTGTTCAGGACCCTAAGTCAGACCTTACATATTTGGACTCACTTTTAGGGGAGAACATCAGGTGTTGGAAATCCTCAGAGGCAGGTAGAGGCGTTCAGTCCCCTTTAGACTGCACCAAGGGCAGGAGTGGGGAAAACCCCTATGCACGCACACACAGTATGCATAGCTCTGCTATGGTGTCATATATCAGTGTTAGCCAGTGAATTTTGTTTTGTGTCCCCTGAAAGTGATGCATGAGAAGCCATGTGCTTTGCTAAAGATGCCTTTGTTTTTTTAAGAAACCCAAAAAACAAAAACATCCTGAACATTTTGTACCACTCCCCCAAACGGTATATTTCCCTGCTTGATTACAGTGTTCTTTCTGTTCACCAGGTGTCACAGCCTTTACAGTTACTTGCAACTTAAATGTATTAATAAAAAAAAAAAAGTCACATTGACTTTTCTGATAAAACCACCAAAGTAGTGAATAGGCATAAGCTCTCTTTGATAGGAATAGACTTCTAGTATCTATTCCTAGGCAGCAGGTGGCAGTGTGAATCCACCAGAATTCAGTAGTTAATTTAAAGCAAA